ACGCGTGATATTCAACAAGATTCTGATTATAAATATAAAAGTTTCCCTACTCGTAATTTAGCTCCATTTCTTTGTTTAATTAAATTCTTAAAACAAGAGCAATTTTGAACAAAAGTTCTGAGTGGTTTATTGGATTTAATTTGGAACTCTATCTAAATAGTTCGAAGCTTATTTTATTGATTGTATAACCCAAAAAAAGAATTTTAAAATAACCATCTGGATAAAGGCCGTGTAAATAAATAATTCCTGAAACAAGTTTGAAAGTTTTCGTGCTTCTGAGTGGTAACTTTATCACATTAGTTTAATTTAGAATTCTATACAAGAAGGTTTTATAAGGTTACTTAAACATATATGTGAAAATTAATTTTCACAATGAAATTACTGAAACAAAGAATGAAGTCATTGATATATTATATTTTTTTATATGTATATTAATTCCAAATGATTATAAATAGAGCTCTGTTGATGTTGAAGAACCAAAAATTATTGATATAAATATGAAACAGACATACATATGCCAAATCTTACCAAGAAATAATAACATGAAAAATTCTTTACATTTTTCATTGTTTTATTAGTTATTGTTTACATACTACTTTTTGTAAAATATAATAAGTGCAATTGTAAAAGAGATGATTGTTTCATAGAAGAATTGAAAAATTTATATAAGGAAATCGATTTTTTTGTCAAGATATGATAGTGAGAAAGTTGAAATAATCAATTCAATATACAATTCATTTTTCACTAAACACAAGAAAGATATCAGAAAGGCTATCATCAACGCAAACATTCGTCTACTTAATAAAAATGAAAGTTATTTAGTCAAATATGAACCATATCACACATTTGCAATGCGTATAAGAAAACAACACAAACCTAATGATATAATGAAATACATTTGCGACTGCTTAATCTCTGTAAATCATGTAAAAATCTTTTGTATATCTACAAACGGAGGGTAAACATCGAAAAAGATCGAAAAGAGAAGTTAAAACTATCAAAAAAGATATATGATAGCACTTCAGAGAATGAGCGGCGTTTACTGGAAAGATCCATAACAAAAAATATTATCGATCTTTTAGAATACTGCCCACAATCATTTATTACCGATCTATTTGCTGATAAAATTATTTATTATTTTATTAAACAAGACAATAAATTTTAAATTTTTTACAGAGTTCATATCCTTAAAAAAGGCTCTAGACATATATATAGTAAAAGACCCTATTTTTAATTCTGCTATCCGTATTTATACAAAATGTGTCAAGTGTAAAGCTTACCAGCTTCTATGTTTCCAATGTAATTAAGTTTGAATCCAGATCTTTAATTATAGATATGATATGTGTTCCGAAACATTAAATTAGTTTGAACTTGATTTAGTAATTCCCGTAAATATAATAAATATTTCTATTAAGTTTGTTAGTTCTGTTCATTATAAAATTGTAATTGTATTGATTAATTTTAATTAAAAAAAAATTCAGATTTGTATTAATAAATGTTAAAATTTATTGTTCAAATTTGGTTATACATCTTACTGAATAATTAATGAAAGCAATGAAATTTATTTTTTACAGTATAACTTTTTTATAATATATTTTATTAATAATACCAGCTAACTTAAAAATTGAATTTAAAAATCAAGGAACAGACATATCATTAAATTCTTTAAATTCCTCAAGTGTGTATTGATTTTGAGTATCATAAATTTCAAAGAACTCATTTTCTACTGGTTTCATATCACCCAAATCTTGTTCAGAAATATCGGATAAAACTTCATCATCTGTAGTTTTCGAATTCATCCAAATATCTGAGTTTTCTGCATTTTTTGTTGCTTCTTCATACCACTTGTTAAAAGGTCTACCATTTAAAAATACTATTATAATAATTGATATATCATCAATACAATATCCAGATTGAGAAATTAAATCACACAATTTGATCAAGTCTTCGCAGGCTGATTTTAATAAGGTGATACAAATTAATATAATTGATTTTCATATCCTGGCCTGGTCAGTGAAACAAGATTCGAATTTTTTTTTTTTTTTTATAATTGACCAATAGTATTCATTAATTTTTAAATATGTCTCTTAACATCATTTCTTAGCTTTA